GGCTTCATTTAATTTTACCAAATGTATCGCTATATGAACTAGTGTCAACTAGGATCGGCAAATATGAAATAAGGCCAGATGACCGACTCTTTCGCAACAATCGATTACTATAATTTATTTTTCGAATTAAGTATTGTTTTCGTGATTACCAGTAAATCAGTAATATGAGATGTATTCACTCAATTTCGTTTAAGGTGATGAAGGACTGGTAGAAGAAAGATTCAATGAAAACGTCAGCTCATCTCATATCATTGTGGGAAAATTCTTCTTCTACCAGTCCCTTATCCCAATCATTTGAGTTGAGCTGGCGTTTTCATTGAATTTCACATAGCCCTGCTTTCCCAAAAGTTGTTCTCATCCCAGCTGGGGTGGACTGCAGTTTCTACCTCGCATCGGTCTTATCAACACCCTCAGCGGGAGGCGAACCGCGACAGTGCAGGATGGCAGCTTGAAATGCTAACCACCCAGCGCCGTTTGGGTGAATACATCCTAAATTAATAGTTCGCCATTTGGACGACTTCTTTGCTGTTCGGCAATATCGCAAAGAAAGCCTGGAGAATTTTGTTGGTTTACTGAACAGGATAGATTGGAATACGAAATTTATCATCGAGATAGAGAAGGAAGGAGGTTTAACTCTTCTTGATGTCCTAGTTAGCAAAAAGGAGAGCAGATTAGGTAGAGATGTGTACAGAACAGCCACAAATGCAGGTTTCCTGTGGAATTACATAGCCACACTTATGAGGGTGAAGTGGGAGTTATGCAGACTATGATAATAAGGAGCCTGCGTCTGTCAGATTTTAAGCATCGGAAACAAAAATTGAGAAGAGTAAGTAGAATTCTGATTGAGAAGAATAATTCGCGAGGGCTGATTTACACTTATTTCATAATATTGTCAAATTCGATAGAGGGAAATACATATTTGTTAGGCCATTGTGCTGCCATTGTGCAATCTATCGAAGAAGATAGGCAAATTGCTGAGGAGGCGGGGCGTCAGGACCATTTATAAAAGGAAAATAACACTTTCCTCGGTATCGCCTTCCTTTTGAGAATACGCTAACCCTCTCTCCAGATCGGGCTGTTACAAGATTTTGCGTTCATGCGGTAGCGTCTGTGTGTGGGAGACCTGTAGACGCATACATACGAGATCATCAGAACAGAAAACAACATGCAAAGGTTTATGGGTCCAAAAATCGGAATTGGTCGAACACGAGCCTCATAGGACATTAAATAGACTGGTCTAATGCAAAACGTGTAGCTGTATATGGGGACTATGACGGTGAGCGAAAGATTAGGGAGGTGGTTGAAATCAACAAAACAGCCAACATGAAGAGGAGCTGGGTTTTGAAGAATCCCTTAATGAAACTCTGTGCCATGACTCTCCATTTCGAATGGAAAGTCGGTTGGAGGGATTCGTCATGTGGTCTCACTGAAACCCGAATGATTGTCGCGTATGAAAGACTGTTGAATTGTGCGAACAAGCCCTCGGCTCACAGTCCTGCGACCCGAATGAAATTATGCCAAGCTTTCGTCTGTACTGTGTCAGACCTCATCAGGGCAAGGTTACACACTTCACCAAATAGAGCAAAAATACAGTCAGCTAGCTTTTTTAGAAACCTAACATCGCGATCTTAATGAGGCATCCTCTGATTTGGTTGGCTACTTCAACCTCACTCTACATGCTTGCAAATGAGTGAAGTTATTAGGGGGACCTTCATTTCGAAGAAGAGATTCGTTTGTCGATCTCACCAGATGAGTGAAGTTAGCTTCCCGAACCGGAAATGCTCTCGGTAGCAGTTTTTTCATCACATAAAAACTAGCGTAAGATCGCCTAATGCTGAATCCCGTTTGGGCTTGTGCTATTGTACTGCTCATGTCATGAGTAGTATGATAGTCTTAGCTAAAACCGAGACTAATCCAGCCTCCTTCTCTTGCTCAGTGGCTCTTCCTGCGCCCTCTCACTTAATTTAGTCGTTCCAACAGCCATACAGAGTTCTTACTTAGTTTCCTACATTCGTTCCTTCTATTCAGAACGTTGGCTGTTTTGTTCATTTCTATAGATTCCTTAAGCTTACGCTTTGACCTGATTTACACGTAACCCGCAAAAAATTGTGTTTTGGACCTGTATTGACCACGTGTTCAGCAAGCTCAGATTTTTGGACCCACAGACCTTTACAAGTGGTTTTGTGTTCGCATAGTCTCTTATAAATGGGTCGCCAGGTCCCCCACATAGACCTTACGACATGAGCACGAAACCTGGTAACAGCCTGATCTAGAAATATTGTCTGAATATTCTCTAAACGAAGGAACTACTGAAGAAGGTGATAATTTATCTTTATTAATTGTTTTTATGTTCCATTTCCTCAATTGATCATTCAATTTTTTCGTAAGCTGTCAAGAAGGCAAAGTCAGGAACCGAGTAAAATTGTCCAGTTGTCTATTTCGCACTCAATATTAAACTCCTCTAATCTGGTCAACTACAAGTGATATGTAATTGTCTATTTATCCTAACGGGTAATTGTTTGGAAACAGTATATCCCTCGGTATACCAATCGCATGGTCCCTATGGCTTGCATCTGCTGGACTT